CCCCAAAACCCCAAAACCCCAAAACCCCAAAACCCCAAAACCCCAAAACCCCAATGAAGTCCAAATGATTGAAAACATCGAAATGCTATTATGGTTGATTTTGAGGACCCATCAATGGTTGATGTTCGGGTTGAACTTGTTGTTGAGAGAATCCAGAGGGTTGGGCTGGAATTTGGGATGGGGGAGGAATGTTTCCAGCTGGGTTCTGTGTCTGAGGAGCATAACCTTGATTGTATTGCATCTGACCCCCTCCATAGTTTTGAGCTTGACCAGGCATTCCCATGCCTCCAGGAGCTTGGCCCTGCATTCCCATTCCTCCAGGATTCATTGGACCTGGCCCTGGCAATCCCATTCCACCTGTATTGTAGCCAGGATCTTCCATTGGAGCAACTTGAGCCATCTCTGTTGGAGGTACAGGAAGAGCAAAATTCGCTTCATCATAAGTTGTCGGGTTCCATCCCTCTGGAGCCTGTATCATGGTAAAATCTTGTAATGCGGGAGCCTGAATAAATAGTGGGATACTTGTTTGAGGGAGAGTAGCACAATATGTATTATACATCAACTTTATTTCAAGTTTGTATGTAATATTCACATGCAATCCTGAAGTAGTAGGTTGAATACAATTAGCTAAAGCCATTTCTTCATTATATATAGGAGTAAAATCTGAGAAGACTTGATGATTAACTTCACTCTTTAGTTCTGCTAAAGAAATATCAAGGAACCTGGTGTGCCCCTCAGTTTCTTCTCTTGGACCAATACCATCATAGCTCTTCTCCCCTACTTTTCTATTTCTATTATAGACAGCAGAGTAAGAATTTAACTTTATATATTGCTTGATACAAATTCTGACTCTGTCTATAGGGATACTGCATCCATTCCGAATATGACACATTGCTCTGCATACTTCATTACTAGCAATTGCATCTTTTTCAAATTTAGTATCAAGATATGCAGTACCTTTTGAGCAACATCAGCAGCAGGATTTAACCTTCATTTCGACGTTAGCCGATAAGTTTTCGTTAACATAAGGAGCCTTCTCTCTCATAATCAGGGTCTGCTTAAAAGCCATCTCTCTGAGCCTAGTTGATGGATGTGGCTGAAGAATTGCCTTAATTGAATATTGGATAGAAGCAACAGCAGATTCAGTTCCTGAGTAAAACGCACTAGAAGGACATCCATAAGGAATGGCTATATTGAAAGGAAAAGTGTACTGCCCTGCATTAGCAACCCCTTCTGGGAAGTTATACAAGGTAAATCTCTGATAAATAACATTTCTGACAGCATGGTGATAGATGTAATATGTCACAGAGACATTTTTGTCGCCTCTTCTCTCGTTCCTAGTCTTTCTTTCCCTCCATTTACATTTCTCTTCGCCCTTAACTTCAATATCAAGGCTCATTGCTGGGAAAGGTTGGGAGAGCTGCATGTAAATATTTCCTGTCATGTTCTCACCAGAGATAGCATATGCATGATCAGGCTGCAGATAAATATGTCCATGCTCGAACTTGGATCTTGAATCAACTGATCCCATTTATATATTTTGCTGATAAATTTCTAGTATGTTTATTAATAGTGGGGTTTTGGGGTTTTGGGGTTTTGGGGTTTTGGGGTTTTGGGG